GCCGCGCTAAACCCGGCTGGAGCTGAGCCTGGAGCCCAGGACGGACCAAACCCGGGCGGGATGAGAGCCCCGGGCCCGCCAGAGCCGGTCGGGAATGGCCGGGATGCACCAGCCCAGCTTGGCTCTGGAGGCCGGGGCGCAGGAGACCAGTTTGGGACTGGGTCTGAAGGCTGGGGCGAGTTAAGCCTGGCTGGTTTTGGGGCTGAGCTCCTGGGCGCACGAAGCCTGCTTGGGTCTGAGTGCCAGCGGGCGTGAAGCCGGACTGGACACCCCCCAGTCCAGGCTGGTTCTGGGTCTGAAACCCTGGGCGAAGGTGACCTGGTGGGTTTTGTGACCCGGGGTGCTGCAGCCCATGGTGGTTTGGGGTCTGGAGATGGGGGTGAAAGAGCCCAGGTTGGCTTTGAGACCCAGAGAGCTGTAGTCCCGGCTGGTTTGGGGTCTGAACACCTGGGCGAAGGAGCCCTGGTTGGTTTTGAGACCCATGGTGCTGCAGCCCAGGCTGGCTTGAAGACCCGGGCGAAGGAGCCCAGGTTGGTTTTGAACCCCAGGGTGCACCAACCCATGTTGGTTTTGGGTCTGAAGATTGGGGAGAAGGAGCCCAGGTTGGTTTTGGGTCTGAAGACCCGGCCGAAGAAGTCCTGGCCGGTTTTGAGACCCAGGGTGCTGCAGCCCAGGCTGGTTCGGGGTCTGAAGCCCTGGGTGAAGACGACTTGGTTGGTTTTGAGGTCCACCATGCACCAGCCCAGGCTGGTTTGGGGTCTGAGGCCCCAGGTGAAGGAACCCTGGTTGGTTTTGAGGTCCACCACGCACCAGCCCAGGCTGGTTTGGGGTCTGAAGCCCCGGGCGAAGGAGCCCGGGCTGGTTTGGAGCCCCAGGATGCCCCAGAATGGGCTGGTTGGGGGTCTGGAGCCCTGGGTGCAGGAGGCTGGGCTGGGGTCGGGGGGAGGCGGGGCTGGGGTCGGGGCCGCACCCCCAGCACCGGCTGGGTTCGCGCCACGGGGCGACCCGGCTCCGAGTGGGCTTGGGTAGAGATTTGGGGTCTTGGGCGCGTGAGGGAGGACTGGGACGCATCGTGCAGGAGGCCAGGCTGGGACAGGGGGAGAAGGACACCAGCCTGGGGCTGGTGGGCGCTGTCCCCCCGAGTGGCCAAGCTCTC